CAGAAAATCATTAATAATTCAAAATGTGGCCCCCGGCGCAACCAAGTCATTCTGCTTTTCTGTTTGTCTACGCATTTAATGGTCAACTATTGAAATTGTTATTGTTGTCTTATATTAAAAAAAAAGCCAGACAAATATAGCATAACTGAAATATTTGCACCAAAAGTAGTATTTGTCGGCTGTAATACATCAAATTATTTGAGCAGCAAGTCCAAATTTGACTGTTGTTATATATGCATAGCTGTAATTTATTGGGCAGTTTGTAGGATGTCATTTTGAGCTCAACTGACGCACTAATAGTAATTTTATTTATCTAACAGTCATTCATCACACAACCAAGTTGAAAGCATTGTTGCCGTGACAACAGACAAACAGAAGTAAACAAATGTCAGGCGCACACACGAACTACAGATGTTTTAGAGGTAAAATATATAACAATATAACGATTAGAAACTATAACAACAAAAGGACACAAAATGAAATCATTTTTCTCTCGCTTTTATATATTTTATCTAAATGTTTTAAGTTCACACAAATGATCTAAAATTTAGAAAGTGTCTTCTTGTTCAATTTTATGGAAAAAAAAAATGTAGGTATACATTTAAGTAAGGTAATATATTGATTTTATTTAAAATTGTCAATGGTTCAGGAGTAAAACAAATTTTAACACAGTCATCTAAAAGCCTCCACACATAACCAAAATAAGGCCAGACTTTTTTTATTCCTTGTTTCTCGAGTTTTTATAAGGCAATTTTTTTGAGGAGGGCGAAAAAAAAAAAATTAATTCTTTTTTTCCATTAGATTTGTGTGATTCTCAAATAAATGTAAGTGAGATCATTGATCGGAGGGAAAATATGAAATAAAATTTTATTCCATGTATAACCTTGTTTCTCATCTGTGCGAGACTACGGTACTTTGATCATGATACTCCCACCAAAATGCAACTTGGATTTGTTATGCGGCGGGCGGTAAAAAAATAAAGATAAAAATACGCTGTAATAAAATTTTATTTTTATTTCATTTTCGGCTTCTCTTCACTCAGCGGGTTCGCGAAACAAGGGATAATAAAAGTCTGGCCTAAATGAAAAAAAAAATGTTTAAAAATGTTTTTTTTATCTATCATTTATCTTAATATTTTTCATGAAAACCAGATTTTTTCGTTGATTTTTTTTCCAGAAAATGTTCCAGAATGTTACATGCACCCATATTTAACAGATGCCAAAACTACGAGCAGAAAGATGAAAAAATGTTTCCTACACCATGAAGAACATTTTTGAAGTACTAGTATTAACTCAAAACAGGTGTAATAATACAAGCTTTCATTTTTCAACAGATGGCGAATTTTTATTACTTGTGTATAACGCATGTTTAATTAGGAGGATCCCACCCAATAAAGTGCATATAAACCAATACCATAGTCTCACTAAAAATGTTAAATTGACATGAGGTATACCCAGTATATAAAACGATAAGGAACTCGTGATTTTGAGTTTACATCAGCATTAATTACGAGAGGCGTAAATATGGCGGCCACTGGATTATGCCCGCAATGACACTGACTCGTAGATAGACAATGTTTGCTTATTCAATTGAGGAATAATTGATAATTTGGAGCCATAACAAATTTCATTATAATATAAACTTGTTGGAAAATAACACCCTTTGTAAATGGTCAGCCATTTTTGTTCAAATCTCAAAAAGACACTTTTGAGTATCAGAATTTAGAAATTTTGTTGACCAAAAACAACAACAGTCAGCATTAAGTCATCAAACATGGTCTATGTGTTAAGTTTGAAGGTGATCAGTCAAAGCATGTCTGAGATTTCTTCCCCCAATAAAAGATATACAGTAATTACATTTTTACCACATTCTTTTATTTATTTACATGTATTTTCAAATTTTCAAAAACATCAATAAAGCTTGGTGTATTGCCTGCAAATGAAACAGCAAATCTTTGCAATCAGGACTCTGATTAATTTCAAAAAGAGAACGAAATGAAATTGAGTCATCTTGGAGACCAGGTGAATATGACTCATCATGTGTTTGAGAAATGTGACACAATGCCTTTGTTTCTGACACAAAGACAACTTTATAAATAGTTACATCACTATGATGAAGTATCGAAGGAGGCTTGTTGTGGAAACCGATTAGTACACAGGTCAAATGTATCATGAACAACGTGAAATAAACAAGAATTGATTATAAATGTACATGAGTATCACAAGTCACGACAAAGTCTCTCAAGTACTGTGTGGTCAGGCCTTATTGTAAGAGGTACGGTTGTATAAGATCATGACCCCATATCACTTGAAGTCATGGGCTAGTATTACCCCCATACTGAATCTGAATGAATCATATAACCCACAAGTATCAATAAACTCAATCAATAAAAGAAATAACAAGGACATTTTAAAGTTTTATGAAAATATCATATTCTAATTAGACCAGATTTCTTAGTCCAAATTCATTGCATATATTATCTGACAGCATTATTATCCTGCTAAAAAATTGTGTTAACACTTTGAATGCCAAGTTTTTTTAAAAATAAATCTGTGTACTTTGTGTTTTTCATATTATTTCCGAAAGTTTTAATCAGGATATGTAGCTAAGTGAAGATTATGTCCATTTGGTCGAAATATTAACACGGAAATTATAGTAAAATATACCAAATGTAAAAAAAAAAAATCTGGTAATCTTATGAGGTTATTACGAGGATACTGCAAAGTATGACCGAAGACAGTACAGCGGAAGTAACGACCAATGTTTTTATTATTAGAAGACGCATATATATATCATTCCATATTTGGATTTTGCGTTTCCCAATATGGTAGCATGAAAAAAAAAAATTACGGCACGTTGTAACTTATGGTGTTACGGTGACAAATGTATAATAATTTTTGTTAATGCAAAACAATGAGTGAAATAAGTAGACAAATTTATACAACACACTTAAAATTCAGTCTCAGATATGATATCAGTGTATTGTCTTCAAGTTGATTGGTTCTTCACAGATCACATGACACATTCCAGTTCAGCACACATGATCACACAAATGTCCTCTCAACATCAATCCTAAACTTCTAATCCACTGATCAAATCATTTGAAGCGAGAAAACAAGTAACATGATCGTGATTTTGTCACAAATTTGACGTTTCAACTTAATGAACTCAATGTTTATATATATATTTATAAATTATATTTATAAATTAGGTTTAATGTCAACATTCTGGGTAATTTGATTTTGAAATGAAATGAACATGTATCTATTCATCAGTGGGCAATTTCATAAATTAACCCTTAGAACGTCAAAGTCAACTTTAGACACGATTCACAAATTTAATTTTTTTTATAATTTTTCCAAAATTTTGAGCAAGACTTATAGCCAATAAAAAAATATGTTCATTGAACATAATTTAAAAAATTATCAAAAAAAAAGAAGAAAAATTAATAAAAACAGAAAAAATTTTACACAAAAATTTTGCCAGGAAAAATGATAGTACTCATTTCATTCAATAAATTTATAACTACAGCAACCATATGTTTTTGTCAGAAATAAACGTTCATGAATTTCATGAGTTTAGAGAAAACACAAAAATTTGCCAGCAATGAATATTTCTTTGCAATCTTTTTTAGAGAGCAAATCATGACAACTGTTGAAAAATTACATCCAACCACAAATCAAATTATCATATCGTGAAAATGGATAGCAACAAAAATCAAATGGTTGACAGTAATGTTCATTGGGTTGTTTGACCACGCACAATGAAGGGTTGACAATAGTTTACAGTATTATCGGTATTAAGTCCAAATCTCACATGGCAATGTGGCTCAGCATGATAGCAAAATAGATGATACAAACAAATAAGAAAGAGATATAGAAAGGAAGTTTTGATTCGTTGAATTTTTTTTGTTATGGAGAAAGTCATGAGAGAAACTATGATTCCTTGGCTTAAGGATTCTCAAAAAATTTATAGAAAATGACATTCACAATGTTAATCAAAAATAGCTTAGAAAGAACTCCTGTGTGCGAAGAGGAGACATATTAAAAATTAATTAAAAATTACTTGTACTTGAGATATCAGTGTGAAAGCAGAAAATTGATTAATTATGCAAATTGTGCAATTATTAAGCAGGAATTTTTACCCAAAACTAGTCAAATCTGTACATTAGTCCAGAGCATCTATGTACCAACTCTTATCAAAATGTAATGAGTCGCTCTTCAGATATAAATGGAACAGTCATGGAACAGCTAAAAATTAGCTAATTATTATGCAAATTAGGTAATTTATATGTATGGATTTCAACCAAAACCAAATCAAATCTACGCATTATCCCAGAGCATCTATACATCTAGTTTCATTAAAAACCAACATGTGGTTCTTGAGATATCAGACAGACTATTATATATTTATATAAACTGCAATGACTCCCATTGTGTGCTGCTTTGCACACAGGGGTCAAAAATTGATCTCTTTGTAAAATTTGTTACATTTTGAGATGGAGATTGGATCTCTAAAGAATGCTTTCCCCTTCATATAGGTTGTCTTATATAGTATGCAATCATTTTACTATCTCATTATTGCAGTTAAACTGCCAATAACAAAATGAGTGATTACCAACTATTTAGGATTACTCTATAATTTCTTTTTAAAGGTACAATCATGTTGCACTGCATAAATCAGTGTTGCCATGACAGCATCACATTTTTTTTAACATAAACAGTATACACTTTATTCTGATAAGAATTTAAAATATTGCGTTATTCATTGCATGGCATTTTTTTCACTCAGACTACATGGTAATTTCACCTTAATTTCAATAATATGTATACATGTACATGATATGTGCGTGTTCATCCGCCATACTTGGAAAACAAATCTAATATGGCGTATTATGAAGGTTATTATGGTTATTGCGACATGTAATGATGAAAACAAAGTTTTGGTCAGAAAATTACTATTAGGCTGAATTTAATCGGAAAATAATGTCTGAAACATACCTTAAAGCTGCATCTAGTGATTTTTTCAATATACCCTGTAATACGGCCGGAGTAACACCCTTATCCGGTGATGAGATCTTATTCTGCAAGGTAAACACACCAGGAAAATTAGTACCAAAATATGTATAAAATATGCAGATAATTTTTCTTTTGTTCTACTGGTATGTTGATGGAAAAATGCAGAAAAAAACATTTTTGGAACTTTATTCTGAAAGAAATCTACATTAAAGAATTTAATTTTCACTGCTAGGACTATTGAGACTATTTGATGATTTACATCGGTGATGGCATTCATGTATCACAAAAGTCAAAAGCCACTGATACAACATGTTGCATTGTGAATTTTGAATTGCGATTTATCTTGAAACCTGTCTCCCAGCAAAATAATAAATAAATAAACAATAATTCATAACAAACCACAAGTACACCCCCATCACATAAATACATATTTTCAATACATCAATGTCATTGACTATTATGTGGAAATTGACATATGAGAACACATGACACTATTAGCTAATGTTAAAGACAACATGACAAACTACACAAATATATCATACCAGTTTAAATAATGCAGTAGATTTTTCCCTGAGTGATCCATTGACACACAGCGATAGTCCAGATAAACATTCTCTCCAATTTATCAAACCAGTTTTGTCACAGTCAAATGCAGTAAATATTTTATCACCAATGGTTTCCTCTAAGTCCAGGCAGTGTAGACTGAAAGATAAGAACAACATAATAGAGTAAAATGATTTGTCACCTTCTGAAATAATATATTTGGATTGTACTGGTAACCTCAAAGAACAATTAATTAAAATTATTATATCGGTAATATTTCCAGTATTTCCAGTATGGCTGCATGATGACGTCATTAAACATTACATCATGTGATTATGTCATGTGATAACATTCATAAAGTTGTTGATTTGAATAAATACAAAGTAGATCTGCTGAGGCAAGGGAACATTTAAAAAAAAAAATATGTACCGGTACAGAGACAATTAAAAAAAAAACACCACAAAAAAACAATATATTAATTAAAAAAACATATTTAATAGTGGAAAAAAAAAACAATTTGTTTACAGCAATCCTTCTGAAGAAATCTAGCTCAAAACAAAGTGAAAGGAAAAAAATAATTTATGCAGATTTCAGACTACCAGATTTCTATCCTCCCATAGTTGCTCATTGGTGTCACAGTGGCAGGTGTTGAGAATAATTTGTGATAATTTCTGCTATGTTTTAAGTGTTATTGCGACGGAGGAATTACCACACTGTTGAATGGCACATATTTAGCAATATTCCCACATACTTACAAAGTATTCTTGTCCACGTGTCCAGCTGATAATCTACATGATTTGATATTGTAATATGCCTTTCGTATTGCATCAATGTGAATATAATTTACTGAAAAGAGTGCATAAAAAGAAATATGCAAATTAGATTAGATCATACTATAATTAAAACCGGTTATGTTTTTTTTGTCTACCACATCTGACAAATCTTATAAAATTCTTGTCAAGCTTTGTTGAAATATGTATATCAATATATATAACAAAGGCTAGTACCGCATATTCAATATAAGAAACACATCTCAGTGACTGTAATTAGTTATACAATTATGTTGAATGCAGTGTGACTACCTCATTGAGGGGAAGGAGCGTTATTTTATCTATTCTGCTACAGCTTATACAATCGATGCAATTTTGCCACGATGAAATTTACATCTCATAATTTGCACCAATGCATGTTACCATAAAGGAAGTTTTTTGCACGCGAGATTATGACTAATCTGATTGGTTTGAAAAGATTATCACTTTGACATTCACGCACAGCTGGGACGAGTAATTTGTGTTTGGTGATAGTGTTATGAAACATATTTTGTCAATACATAACAAGTAGGCATGAAGTCAGTGTCAATGTATGTAAATTCAAATTGCATTGTGCATAATCACTCTGTTTGTAGCTGTATTTGTAGTCAACTCTTAAATTCGGTGTTATATTATAATAATATTGAACAGTGAAACACATTGATTTAAGTTATAAGAAATAAGAGTTTTTTATGATTTCCAACACACAACACGTGTATCTACCGTAAACTGTTTAAATTTTTCGTGGAATACTTGCTGTCATAAAACATCTAATTAAATATGAATTTCCTCGATTCTCAAAATCTACTGCAAAAACTCGCCTCTTGCAAATATAAATCTGTTCACAGCATGTGATAGTCAACATTAAGATATTACGAATACTATCACTGCGATATTTGTAGATTTCCAAATCAGTAACAAACAGTAGGAATTAAGGTACAAGTTAAAGGTACTCACTTTTTTCTATGACACTGCTATTTCTGGCAGACTTGTGATAGCTGAGTTCAACTCCCATTGTTATATATTAAGTCACACAATACCTCCATAGATTCGCAAGCCATATCTCACTTAGAAACAAATTACAATCTGTGAAACGATAAGAATTGTAAATTCGAGATGAAAACCAATATCAGTATGATAAATAATGTATGACAAAACCACAGGCATATTATTAAAATGTAAAACGATGAAATAGTGAATCTTTACATTAAACTGCAACTCCATAGATCACAAACTATAATGTGTCTACAACATTTATCTTCCCCAGTTCATAGTAGCTTTGAAGACAGTTTCACCATATGACTACACATCTGTATAACATTAGTATAACCCCTAGTTTGTCGAATAATATCTCTGGACTGGTAATCAATACCCAGCGTAAACACACAGCTAATTTTCAACACATTTTCATTCAGGGATAAAATGACCAACCACATTTTTTTTTAGATAGAATTACCTTCTATTATTATCTACCAGCAGAATCATGACCAGACAAAGAATTGTCATCTGAATTTTGAAATTCTGTTAAATCCATTTTCAGATTTTATTAAATTAAATTAAAATGATTGTTTGCGTGTTTTGTATTTTTGGGTTGCCAATGGTAACCATTCTATAAGTAAACCATGTAAATAAACCTACTATATAATATTATTTTAGGAAAACCAGAAAATTGTTAATCAGATGACCCAAATAGGTGATTACTAGTATAATAGACAATCAATGTTAGAGCAGAGTAATATGACATAAAATATTGATTCGGTAATCATATTCCTTCTTATTCGTGAAATCCATGACGATGATCACTTAATGGTAATATGGAACAAATAATTAATTATAAACTTATTTCAACAACGATTTTTGTATGCACACATGAGAAAAATTAATACAAAGAAGTTTAGTCGCCTAACCCTTTGACCACTTGAGCACCAAAGCTAAGCAGGCTAAAAATGGTGCACCAACATTTTGGCGATGTGCAAAAGCTTATAATTTGGTTATAAACTCTCAATATTTTTCAATTCTGACTAAGCTAGAATCAATAAAGATTACAGCATATCTCAGAAGTATTTTGGAAGCAAGTTAGCAAACAAATTCATTAATTTGCCAACTATTTTAGTTTTTACTAAAGCAGATGACTTAAAATTTGAATACCATCATCCTGTCACTATTATTTCTATAAAAACAACATTTGAAATAAGTTTATGAGACATCAGACTGAAAAGTATGCAAAATTGTTTGCAATGATCAGATCTTCTTTAGTGAAAATCAAAGTTGTCAGCTGCCCCAATACTTTTGACATTAGCTGTAATACTGTAAAAGCATTTATTATTCACTGGGTTATAATTTCGCTATTTTTGCTGATAAGTAAAATCCACTAAATTAAATCTATGTGAACAAGTAAAATAACAATCAAAGTAATTGTTTCCTTGACAAATTTGTGAAATTAAAACAGTGAATATGACTGTGGCTCAACACATTAAAACAGTGAAAATAAATGATTTTACAGTACTATACTAATCACACAATTACTGGTACACTGTAAATACTCTCATTTGCATGCTATCACCAAGGAATAAGTCACTCGACAAAATATAAATTAATATTAGCACAGTTTTCAGCCCAAAATATAGATTTAAATGGTTTTTATTGACCTGCAGATGATGAAATGAATATGATTCCAAGTGAAAAATATAAATAGAACTAAGTACCGTAAAATCTGTATTAGAAGCCACATCCCCTAATAGAAGTCGCACCCATTCTTTTTAAATAATTGAAAACCAAAAATTCATCATTTCTCATATGTGTAGATGCTCTAATAGAAGCCTCATCAATTCTGTAGCATTGTACAATTTTAATAGAAGCCGCAGCTTCTAATACAGATTTTACAGTATACCTTGTGATTGTGAGTAGCTAGGTCACCCTGACCCATTTTCAAGGTACATAGATATGATGTAGAAAATATCGAGAAGCACCATAAAAAACTCATTGGGTATCAAGCAATGGCCCTGTAAGTATAAACCTTAGTTCCGAGTGAGGTGCTGCAGATATTCATTAAAGAACACATTGGATAAATAAAACCTGACGCAGAGTACATGTATTGTAGCAGTGATCACATGCGTGGTAATACATTGCACGCATACATTGGACGTAGATTTGTCAGCCCAATTTATAGTCAAGGTTACTAAATAAAAAAGACCGTGAATCCGGGCCATGAATCCATGGCCCATGGTCACGTGTCGTTAAGTAACACTGCTAAAAATCAATGTATTGTAAGCGACTTGTTTATTTGAGCTTTGATTTAATAATATGTCATACACATCTCAGTTGTACAAGCCGTGTTGACCACAGCGTCATACAACAACATTGAATGAAATATTATGATATACAGAAAGTGACGCCTTTCCTCAGTGAATAGCTTCGTGTACATGGACTTTGTGTCGAGGTCAGTACAGCACGGACAGGATACCAAAACCAATGTGTAAGGGCACTGTCATTTAGCTCGCCCGATCACGGCACTAAATAGTACATGTACGTATGACTGCACTCCGATGACACCGGGACTCAAAATAATCGTTTGAAAAAAAAAAACGTGTTCTGATTTCTTTGCTGAGTATTTACACTGATACTTACAAAGTTAAAGCGCGGGACAGGTATTATAACGGATTAAATATCCATTACCATGTCTTTCGGGTATTACAACCAAACGTATTGTGCATTACGTCCCTCCTTCGAGTTTCTGACAGCGTTGTTAACGACGCCGCCATTTTTCACTTGCTATGTCTAAAACAACGCCCTCATAAGCCAACAACGTAAATACAACATCGGGCAAGACCCCGGGTCAGTATTGACCCCAGCTAAATAAATAAATGGGAAAGTTTTTCTAATAAATGTAATACTAAAAAAAAACTTTTAGTTGTACGAAATATCTTCACCCAAGTCTGAACGGAGCAACATAGCGTGTAAATTTAATATAATATTGTTGGATGAATAAATATATTCTTACTATGATTAATAAATAGCCTTCATTTTTTTTTGCTGAACTTGGCACTTGCCATTATTGACATGACATTCTTGTTGTCACTATGTTCTATGATTGTTTCTGTAATAAAGTGAAATTGTTTACTAGTATTTTATTTTTTATTACACGTATTCAATAAATGTACATGTACAAGTAGTTGAATATGTTTTATGGAGGTGTGAATAGCGCCACCAGCGGTAGAATTTAATATAATTACCTTTCTTACGTACCTCGAAAATGGCGTAACAATAGTTACGAATTGGCTGGTTCCCGCATCAAGTGTCATGGCGTACCAAGCCACAAGAGGCCGGTAACTAGTAACGGTTCTGGCATTCTGATTGGTACATCACTTTCTCGTTGCTTGTTCCATTTCCCTTAGTTACCTGACGTCAGCGCTTACGCTCGTGGCTGTTCAGGGGTTTCCTTTTGCTTTCGAAAGTTGGACGAATAAAAAGAATTGTTTCTTTTGTTATAAATTTGCACAGAACATATCAAATCTGTTAATCTAAGCAGGCAGTATGTATGAGCATGGCTTTGTATGTAGCATTACAGACACGTTTACGCAAAACGGAACTTGGAATGTTTTCAAATTACGTCACCCAGTCGCGTTCCTTCCGGCCGGAAAACCGGCCCAAATGGAACTAACTATATGGCGATTACTAGTTACCTGCGTCCTACCTGCCATTCGCAAAGGACGCTGGGAACCAGCGAATAGTTACAAATTAGACCATTTCCCGTTCACTGCGAGAATCACGCGTTATGCGTGAAATCGAACGTAAAAACAGGACAAACAAAGGTCATAGCGTCGTAGTCGCGTCAAACATCGCGTGGGATTCGACAAACGCGAAAGTATTTCGGGGACATTTCCATGCTTAATAATGTGCTGTCCACATTTAATGATAGGCAATTTCGATTAAGTAAGGGTATTCGGAAGCAATATTCCTCTGTCGAAGATCGGCCGGTCAATGTAAGCTGCGAAATAAAGAAATTCTAGTTCAAAATCAAATCGTTCGATTTTTGCGGCAGACGTTCGACGCGCGTCTTTCATGCATCTCGCGAGATCTCGCAATTGTTCGGAAAATCACCTATTGTCCCACATCTTAATAATTCATAAACATTTAATTTCTTTTTTAAACCATGAAGCTAAAAGAAGTTTTGACGAATACGTACGTTCACGTGGGTATATGGTATATGGTGTCGTCAGCACTGAGTAGCATTGAAACGAGCAACATGATGAGGCACACAAGGCACCGCGGTCACTCAACAACGACCCTGCGTATAAACTAAACTAAATAAAACATTACTGGAATAACTTTAAACAGAAAATTGGAAACAGTTGAACACAGAATGCTACTCACTACGTTTTAACATGCGTGCATAGATCAGTACATATTGACAATGAAAATATTTCGTCTTAAAATCTGCCAGTAAGAGATGCTGAATTGATCGAGTTACAAAATTGACCACGCTCATACTAGTATTTTAGAAACCTCGCCCACTTTCGAGAAACGACGCCCAAATTGTATCTACAGGAAACATATTTTTTCTTCTTTGTTGAACGTTCACACCATGATTCAGTAACTAGAAATATTATTTAATTAACAGTTAACAAAACTTCGAGTTACGGGCAACATATAACGTTAAAGCGCTGTAGTCGTCGCGCTGCGCATGTTCGAAATTTGTGTTGATAAACATTGATTTTCCCATAATCCAATGCGCTCTTCAAATGGAAATCACAAGTACATGTATGAGGTTTGACCTGGGCGCGACTTGCACTGATTACCGCCGGTGACTTTTTCGACACCTTCCAATCACATGAAAATTACCTAATTAAAGCTTGGAAACGTGTCAGTTCGTACTCGTTGATCTGCACAACAGTCAAAGTCGGCCATCATTCTTTATATGAGACCCATATATCTCGCACATGCACAGCGCGACGACTACCGAGCTTTAAACAAAATAACAAAAAAATCTATCTTGTCCGTTACTCAGTTAACCGT